TTTTGTATTTTTAATTTGGAATAATTTGTGCTAGATCATGCTATGTTCGGTTTTAAAACTCACTTTAGGAAAATTATGATACGAAGTATTGAGTATTTAGTGATTTGGGATATGATTTGGGCCTTCTTTGAACCGTTTGAGCCTTTCAAGCCGACTTTTTTATCGAAATTATCCTTAGAACCTTGATTTGAGCCTCGGAGAAAAGGTGTTCTTTCTTTTAGCCAATGTATAAGGTAGAAAAGTGGAGATTCTTGAAAAATTACCCCTTGGAGTTCAGTCGAAATTTTTTTATAAGGTCCTTCTTCTTCTTCTTCGAAAAAAAAAAAAAAAAAAAAAAAAAAAAAAAAAAAAAGAAAAAAAAAAGAAGACAAAATATATATGCTTCTATAAATAAAAGGAAATAAAAAGTAAAAAAAAAAGAAGAAGAAGAAGAGAATAGAAGGGAGAAATAAGGACTAGTTGTTGAATTATTTTTGAAAACTCGGTCCATTGCCTCAAAAGCAAAAGTGGAGACTTTTGAACTTTTGAGAATCGAGTTTACTAAAGTCCGTAGAGGTGAATTCATTGTTTCAAACGCCTATCTTTCAAATTTTGGCGTAATCACCTAAATTCAAGAAGAATAGCCACATATACCCATATTTCCTACCTCGAACCAAAGAGCCTAACAATTGAAAGCCACAAAGCCCCAATGATCCCAATAGCTTAATGTTCGATATTAGTAGAGTAGAATAATTTGGTGAGTATTTGGAGTCAAGCATATGCATGTAAGTATAAATTCTTTCTATCTTTAATTTGCAAATATTGGATGCTTGAAGCAATTGTATGAATTGTGGTTTTTGGTAATGGTGAGTGACTAAGTGTTGTTGAATTTTGAGCTTGCGAATGCCTAAGAATTGTCATTATAATTACGAGCTCTGAAAGCGTGAAGTTGATCATTGATCTATGTGATGAGATGTAATAGTTGAGTTATTTGCTTATTGGTAGATTTTGCTTGAGGACAAGCAAAAGTTCAAGTTTGGGGGTGTGTTAAGTGTATATTTTTACACTTTATCGTATCTTTTTATTTGAGCTTTTGGTGTGTTTTAATGATAATTGGTGCTTAAAAAGTTGATTTATTGTATTTTAGGTACAAATTGAAGAATTGGAAAAGTATGGGGTCAAAACTGCAATTTTGGCGAAAATATGGGTCAAAAGTGAAAATATCAAAATTCTGAAGAAACAAGGCTCGGACCCCCGTCCCAGTTTTAGTGCAAATTATGGGACCCCCGTCCCATACTCCGAAGTTGCGCGGAAAAGGGATTTTAATTGCACAAGGAAACTGCCTTCTTCCCCAAGTTCTTCACCCTATATAAGACCAATCCAAGCACACAATTAGGGATCTTTTTACGCAATTTCAAGAGCAACAAAGCAATAACGAAGACGAAGAATTCGAAGACTCCAAGCAAAGATTTATCGTCTATGATTTATTTTATTTGCGTTTTTGCTTTAATCATGAGTAGCTAAATTACTTATTTCTAGGATTTTATTTGGAACCCTATGTGGGTTTTGTGAACCCAATTCTATGATTTTATGCAAGTTTTAATTCCGGATTATTTCTTCTACTTGTTTTATTAAGTGCATGAACTTGATCAACTTATGTGCTTTTATGTTATTGTTAATCGCATGAATCGGAAGATCGGGTTAATAATTAGAACTGTGGTAGAAGAGCCTTTGTGGTATTAACATAGGAATATAGTTAATCTCTTAGGTAGCCATTATTGAGATTTGTGCTTAACGCTGTGTTCTAGAATTAATTGCATAGGAATATAGTAATTGAATCTAGAGTATTAGAATCGTAATACACGCGGAAGCGGGTTATGATTATTTTAGCATCTCAGGTTAATAATCCGGGTTAATTGCTTGCATAATTGAAGGAATTGGGGGAATAATAATCACATAGGGGGAAGAATAAAATCCTAGGCTCGTTTACTCTGATAAATCTTCGTGTTTAATTTGCTTTCTTGCTTTGTCGTTTTAATTTGCTTTTTAATTTATTTTAGTTAATTCTCTCTAAAGTCGACTGTGTAGGGTGGGCTTGATAATAATTGGTAGAATTTAGCGTCTAGGATTAGATAATTAAATATTCCCTGTGGGTTCGATATCCGGACTTTTAGTCCACTATATTACTTGTACGATACGTGCACTTGCGTGTAGGTTTTCGCCCAACAATACCTTAGGAGATTACCGAGAAGAAATTGTTGCACCATCGGCAGCCCGGAAATGTTGTCTTACGAGAACTGTTTCGGCAAACCTCAATCAATTCTACATTTTTCACAAATTCCATTTTTCGTTTTCTTTTTTAAAACAAGTGAGTACAAGCACTGGCGGAACTTGATAGGGGCATGGGGGGGCCGTTGACCCCCCAAGAAAAAAAAAATTAGATATTTGGTATTAAATTTTTTGAATATTATTTTTGGCCCCTCCAAAGTTTTTGTAAATATTTATCTTGACCCATTAATTTTTTTGTCTTTTCTCCAAAATCTTATATAAATTATAGATAAATATATCATATTTAATATAAAATATAAAATAAGATGGTTAAAACTTATAT